CTCATACATAGCCCATAGCAAGCAATTAATGTTAGGAACATAATATCAAATCGTCCTGGTTTTTTGGATTTGTAACTAGTTGAGAAACATTTTTATCAGGTAAGAATTTGATGATACGTTTAGTCCCGTTAGTTCTTACTTTTAATGTAAAAAAATGGCAACAAAAATTTTACAAATTTCACCATAGAAAATTCGTGGCGTAATCAATTTAATGTGGTTCCCCCCATGACATCTTGGATCTACTGTACGTATTCATGAGGACACTGCCTCACGGTACCCGACGGTGGTCCTACCATGACGTCCACTGGCATATGTATCTCCCTTCCAAACATCATAAATTCGGTGAACTGTAGTTGTAGATGCTTGTGTAGTCGCTCGGTAAGCCATCGCGATGAACGGCAAATGATCATCCCAGTCATCACGGTTTTGGTTAACAAATAAAGAGCATTATTTTGTTGAAGCGTTCTATTATATCGTTCTACTAAACCATCCGACCTAGGATGATAAGGTTCTTGTTTTGTTTATTTGCAGGAACTTACAAACTTAGTTAAAATTACTCTTTAAAATTCATTTTTGTTTACTCCTTGAAATAAGCAAGATTCGAAGTCTGGTCCTTGGTCGGTGTGGATTTGATACGGAACCCCGTACCGACATATGTATTCTGTCACCAAGACATCTGCTACCGTATATGCCTCCTGATTCGGCAGCGCAAAGCACTCCGTCCATTTTGTGAAATAGTTGCATACTACCATGATCACCTCTCTCAGTTTCATGACAGACTCATGTTCTCTTTCTCAGTTTCTTCTAGCGGTCCCAGGATGTCGATGGCGATCCGTTCGAATAGAGCTCCTACTCCCGACTGTTTTAACGTTCCCCTTTTCAACCCTTTTCCAGGTTTACTCCGAGCACAGACAGTGCAGTACTGGCACCATCTCTTGATATCCTTCGTGTAGTGTGGCCAGTAGAACCGTTGCTGAATGCTGGATCTACTCCGTTTCTCTCCTTGATGTCCGGCTGTACGATGGTAATGTAATCGCTGAAATATTTTTCTTTGCAATTCCTTAGGTATCACCAGCTGAAGTAGGCGTGACTGGCGTCTCCCATCGTCTATACAATTTACCTTCCTGAACTTCTAATTGATTCCACTGCCCCCAGTATGCTTTTGCCTCTGATCCCATTCCTGCAATTTCTGCAAACTCAGGTCTGTCCAACGCCGCTTCTTTTCGTTCCTTGAAGAAGACAATCACAGGGTCCTTATCTTGTAATCTCCTAATATTTTCCGGGTTCCATACATCATGGTCCTCCCCCTGATCCTTGGGATTCTCTCTGCGATCCTCTCGCTCCTGATCCCCCTCGGTCACTACCAACACCTGCCCACGCGGATTTTTATCCTCACATGAAGAATCGCTTCTCCTCCCATTACGACTGGGTGGTTCATCTCTCCATGTAGAATCCTCTCTTCCCTCACTGCAGCTGGGTGGTTTATCTCTCCATGTAGAATCCTCTCTTCCCTCACTGCAGCTGGGTGGTTTATCTCTCCATGTAGAATCCTCTCTTCTCCCACTGCAGCTGGGTGGTTTATCTCTCCATGTAGAATCCTCTCTTCCCTCACTGCAGCTGGGTGGTTTATA